GACGAAAACAGTACTGCGCCTGTAAAAGCAACTGAACCTGAGAAACCAATGGATTCCAATTACGAGCGCATTGGTGATGAAAAAAGTTCTCATCATCACACAAAACCGAAAAGCAGCGCTGGATCTGTAGAAGCAACTAAACCTAATAAGCCTTTAAATTCTAACGACATTAAGCGTGGTGATGAAAGTCAAACTCCTGACCAAACCGCAAAAGACAAAAACAAAGCTGTTTCTGCAGAAGCGTCTGATTCTAAGAAACCTTTGGATTCCAACTTCGAACGCGTTCATCATAGTCAAAGTCCTGACCAAGACTCTAAAGACAAAAGCAAAGCTGTTTCTGCAGAAACGACCGATCCTAAGAGTCCTTTAGATTCCATCGTCAAGCGTGATGGTGATGGTCAAAGTTCTGATGAAGAACCAAAAGAGGAAGGCAAAACCGAGTCTGCAGAAGCGACAGATCATAACGTTTCTAATGTTAGTGCTGAGTTAGCTTCTATGAATTCTTTTGTGTTGTTGGATATGCCAAGTGTAGATCATGACAGCTCAATAAGACCTGAAAGGACGTCAGGAAGCAGCGACGAGTCAAGTGAGAGCATCGAACTTCTTAATCATCCAGAAAGAGATAGATTTTCTGATACTTCGTCTTCAAACCCTGTCATTGAGCAAGGAAGTGACCTCGCCCAGACATCTGGTGGTGACCTCGATAACTCCAGTATCGGGAGCAATACACTCTACGAGGTAAATCCCGTATCAGACTCACATACAAAAGCAACGGGAAAAATTGCTGCAGATACAATGAAAAAAGCAGAAATCTCAGGTAATGAACAAAAATGGTACAAAAAGCTATAAAATAATGGCATGCCAGTCAGCGAACCATATTGCTTTTTTCTATTTTGTTTTGTTTAGCTCTGTTCTGTGTTAATTTGATTGTTTGTTTATTTGTTCCTCAGTTCGTACGTTCGTTCGTTTGTTTGTCCTTTGTGTGTGTGTTTGTATACTTTTTTTCTGCCTGTCAGTCCCGGGGGGGGGGGGGGGGGGGGG